CCCCATCCAGAAGCAGGGACCTCAAGGAGGGTCACAGTCTGGAGCCCTCGTGTTTCCTGGGTCCTTGCAAGCACGAAGGGTCCGGCGAGGCATGAGGCGCCCGGGCCCCACTTCTCCTCCGTTGGTCAAGGCAGCTGGGGCTCCAAGGGCCACGGCTGGCCGGAGAGGGCTTGGGAGGGGAAGGCCGGGCTCCTTCCTGTAGGCTGGTCCAGACAGACGAATGGCTTGAGATTAACAGGACCTTTCAACCTGGGGCTGAATGTGGAAACTAGGCGGAGGAGTTGCTCACCTGGGTGTGGTGGGAAGTTCCTCAACCAGAGAGACTTCAAAGGAGGGGTGGAGTCCCGGCTTTTGACATGAGCAGAATAACAGAGTTGGAAGGGGCCTTGGAGGTCTTCTAGTCCAGCCCCCTTGCTCAAGCAGGAGACCCTGTAGCATTCTGTCTAGTCTCTTCTTGGAAATCTCCAGGGATGGAGCACCCACAACCACCGGTGGCCAGCTGTTCCACTGGTTCCTTGTCTTCCCCGTTTCTCCTTGAATTCCAGGTTGCTGCTTCTCCCCTGGATTAGTTTCCATCCATTGCTTCTTGTCCTGCCTTCAGGGGCTTTGGAGAAGCACCCAGAATGCTTGGGGGACCGATTTCAGGACCTCCAGGGCCCTTCCCGTTGCTATCGCCCGTGTCCACACCGTCCTGGACCTGCCTTCCTCACACCCCAAGGATTCTGGGGTGGCCCTCAACCAGAGGTGGGATTCAGCCAGTTCTGGAGAACCGGTAGCGGAACTTTTGAGTGGTTTGGAGAACCGGCCGATCCCGCCTCTGACTGGCCCCGCCAAGCCCACCTCTTGTCCGCCTCCCATTGAGTCCCAGCTGATCGGCAGGGTCTCCTTTGGTTGCCCTGCCCAGGAGAACGGAGCTGGAAAGCAGGTCAGTGGGGTGGGGAAGGAAGGGGGATTTTTGCAGCATATCCTCCCCCTGCCACCATCCCTGGGGCTCAGGTGATCAAAATCCAGACGCTCGGCAATTGACCCGCACAACAGTCGGGCAGCATCCCAGGCTCAGGCGATGGCCTTTTGCGACCTGCGGACAAGGCAAGTCAATGTGGGGAGGCCAGGTTCACTTAACAGCCGCGTGACTCACTTAACAGCGGAATAGAGAGTCCAATTTTCTTAAACTAGTAGCTGGTCCTGGCCAACTGGGCCAGCCCCCCCCCACTCCAATCAGACGAATAACAGAGTTGGGGGGGACCTCGGAGGTCATCTAATCCAACCCCCTGCTCAGGCAGGAGACCCTGCCCAACCCCGTTTCAGACAAACGGCTGTCCAAACTGCAGTGGTTTGCTTAAGAACGTGACCAGAAAGGTTGTAAAATGGGGCAAAACCGACTGAGCTCTCTTGCCCAGCCACAGAATTTGCATTGGGCTCCAACTCCCCCCCCCCCCACACTTTGAAATCCAGCCTCACCTGTGGCTCCTCCTTCTCTCCCCTCCCCCCCCCAGGTGTCACAAGCTGCAGGATTCCCTGCTCAGCTCCGCCAGCGGCTTCAGCAACTACCGGGGCATCTTGAACTGGTGCGTGGTCATGCTGGTGAGTAGCCCCTGCCACCCCGATTCCTGGCTGGCTGCCCCTTGGCATCCTCACCCACCCACCCACCCGGACGGCAGACGCCAGCTGCCTTTTTCAGGCCTTGCACCGCGAAAGCTGGCAGCCTGCCAGGCAGATGCTCTCGCCGGCCACTTCTCAGCACAGAGAGGACATTGTGGTCTCAACAGCCCGGCAGCCTGGCGGCTTTGGCTGGGGACGAGTGGCGGCTCGTGCTGGCACGGACGGCTGGGAAATGGGCCAAGGGAACGAGAGTCGAGTGTTTCAGTGGCGATTTTGGCCTCTCGGGATGGAATGGTGGAGGATATTAGAAACTGGGGTGGGTGGGAGGTGACGGTTGTTTTCTTCCCACCTCCTAGAGCAGTGGTCCCCAAACTTGGCCACTTTAAGACTTGAGAACCTCCAGAATTCTCCAGCCAGATCTGTCCCCAAGTCTTCAAGTGGTCAAGTTTGCAGACCTCTGTCCTAGAGGCATCTCCCGTTGGGGTCTTCCAGGCTTCTATCATGGTGGGAAGGCTTCGGGTCTCCATGCTGCCACCGGATGTTTGTCTGCTAGCAAGGGGTCTGCAAACATGGTGCCTTTTAAGACCTGAAGGACTTCAACTCCCAGAATTCCCCAGCCAGCATGAAAAACGTTGCCTTAGACCTGGGAGGCCCAACCTTGGTCACTTCCAGAGGTGAGCTCCCAGAATTCCCCAGGCCAGGATGGCTGGCTGAGGAGAATTCTGGGAGTTGAAGTTCACCCCTCTTGAAGTGGCCATGGTTGGACGTTCCTAGTCTTCTAGAGCAAGGGTCGCCAATCTCTTGGACCTCAGGGACCACCAAACTCATCATTTTAAATCCCACAGACCAGAGACCCTGGGAAAATCCCCCAAAAAGTCTGCAGGAAAATCCCCCACCCCGTTTTCCTACCGATCGATCGTTCTTTATTTGGGATCGCAGGATGTTGTCTCCAGCTCTGTTCTCAGGGGGAAAGAGAGAGAGAGACTTTTGGCTTCATGCAAGGAAAGCAGCAGAAGCCGCAGAAGTCTTTCTTTCTCTCCCCCAAATTCCGCCAGAAACGAGTCTTTGCCGGCGCAGCCTCTTGGAGCAGGAGGCCTTGCAGGGTCCCAAAGACTCATTTCTGGCGGAGTTTGGGGGAGAGAAAGGAAGACTTTGGCTGCTTTCCTTGTGTGCAGCCAAAAGCAGAAGAAGGAAGAAGCGGAGAGAAGCAGCCCAGTGGCCAGGCCAGGCATGTGGAGCGAGTGGGGCAAATTCCCCCCCTCCGCCCTTTCCCCCCTCCCCTCACTCCCTCGTGTTGTGCACAGTGCAAGCGACGCAAGCCTTGTGTTCCCGCAGGCCATGTGGGCGGTGCAGCCTTGCGTTCCTGCGCAGCCTGGATTAATTGCTTTGGGGGGGGGGGGGACATTTCTCTGCGGACCAGCGAAATTTTCTTGCAGACCACCAGTGGTCCCCGGCCCACCAGTTGCCGACCCCTGTGCTAGAGGACTGCCCTGTTCCTCCTCCCTCCTGTCCTCCATGCGTTCCACTTGTTGTGAAGCCCTGGCACAACAGATCGGTTCCCATCCAGAGGACCCCGTGTCCGGTGGCCAGCGGGCACACGGAGGGAGGGCAGCTCTCCACAGGCCATTCCAGTGCTCGGAGGACGCCCCCGAGGCTCCCAAGGGCCTCTTCTCCGGGCCGAAGCGGCTTCCGTCTCCAGGGATTTTATGGGGAACGTAATCCCGGAGCTGGTGGTGAACATCCAAGCAGGTTCCGCATCTCGAGGGTCATCAGGACAGACCCGGGGGGAAAGGAGAGCCGTGCCGGGAGGGGCTCCTGGCCTCCAAGAAGCTGGCGCGACCGCAGGGCAGAGGACTGCAGCGCTGGGCTCCCTCCCAAGGTCCACCCGCACTGCAGATCGGCCTCTCCTGCGAGGGGATCGGATTGCCAGCTGCACCCGCTGGGGCACAGCTGTGCCAAGGCCGGTAATCCAGCCCCTAATAGCCGGTTCTTGCCAACTGGGCCAGGGGACACCACTCAAAAAAACAAGAAGAATAACAGAACAACCGAGCTGGAAGGGACCTCTGAGGTCACCTAGTCCAGCCCCCTGCTCAAGCAGGAGACCCTTGGCTGTCCAGCCTCTTCTTAAAAGCCTCCAGGGATGAAGCGCTTACAACTTCTGGGGGGAAGCCCTTCCGATGATTCCTTCCTCTCATGGTTAGGAAGTTTCTCCTTAAGTCCAAGTTGTTTCTCTCCTTGATGAGCGTCCACCCACTGCTGCTTGTCCTGCTTTCAGGGGCTTTGGAGAATCAATTGACCCCCTCCCCTTCTTTGGGGCAGCCCCTCAAAGACTGGAGCCCTCCTGTCGTGTCACCCCTAGCCCTTCTCTTCACTAGGCTGGCCATTCCCACTTCCTGGCCACCGTTCTCCATGTGTTTGTTCATATGGACCAGACGCTACTTTGGGGCAGCTTGTCTTCCGAAACGGACCCCTCCATCAGTTCAGCCAAAGGGCTCCCATTCGAGGCTCTTGAACCTTCTCTGAATGGAGGAGTGAGGTGCTTCTGGCAGCATCCTAACAAGATGGATCTCAACCGGCGGGGTCCAACCTTTAAGACTTGTGGACTTCAACTCCTAGCATTCCCCAGCCGGCCACAAGTCTTACATTGGCCAAGGTTGTCTCCCTGTTGGTGGCATGCCCGCTGCTGGCTGCCCTGGCCAAGGACTGCTGTGTTGCTGGCGTCCGTCCCTGGGGGAATGGTTTCTCCATCACGAGACCTTAACAAAAAGTGGGGTGCCCCTCTGTCCATGAACCACAACCACAAGGGCACCTCTGCCATCACCCATCTTCCTGCTTCAGGCTGCTCCCCTAGCTGGCGGTTGGAGGTGACAATCCCTTGCCACGCTGCCTCCTTGACCTTCAACCAGGGCGTGGCTGCACCTGGCACTGCCAGCCCATCTGCCCTCCAGGGACCCAGTGAAGTCGGCTGCAGGATTAGTTAACCTGGGGGTGGAGAAGGGAGTTCAAAGTGTTCTTGGCACATTTCCCCATCACTCTTGGCTACCTTTGCCCTGAAGCTGTGGGATGCCCTGCCTTGTAACTGCACGCTTGCCACAGCAAGGCCCCTCCAATAGCTGGGATGTGCGTCCTCTCCCTCCTCCTCCCCAACTGGGAGAGGGATCTTGGAGTCTTAGTGGACATCCAGCTAAATAGGAGCCAGCCGTGTGCAGCGGCAGCCAAAAAAGCCAATGCAGTCCTAAGCTGCATTAACAGAGGGATACAATCGAGATCAAGGGAGGGACTAATACCACTCTATAAAGCCTGAGTAAAGCCACACCTAGAGTCCTGCATCCAGTTTTGGTCACCTGACTATAAAAAAGATTTTGAGACTCTAGAAAAAGTGCAGAGAAGAGCAACCAGGATGATTAGGGGACTGGGGGCTCAAACACATGAAGAACGGTTGCAGGAACTGGGCCTGGCTGGTCTAGGGAAGAGAAGGACCAGTGGAGACAGGAGAGCATCTTCCAATATTTGAGGGGCTGCCCCAGAGAGGAGAAAGGGGGGGTCAAGCTATTCTCCAAAGTACCCAAAGGCCAGACAAGGAACAATGGAAGGAAACTGATCCAGGAGAGATTCAACCTGGAAATAAGGAGGAACTTTCTGACATTGAGAACAATCAATCCATGGAACAAAAGTTGCCTTCGGAGGTTGTGGGAGCTTCGTCCCTGGAGGCTTTCAAGAAGAGACTGGACGGCCCTTGGTCAGAAATGGTGTAGCTTCTCCTCTTTGGGCAGGCGGCTGGACTAGATGACCTAGAAGTTCCCTTCCAACTCTGTTAATCTAATCTAACAAGTCTTAAACTTGGGAAGAGCTGGCTAAGCAGGCTGGGGAATTCTGGGAGTTGAAGGCCACAAGTCTTAAGGCCAGAAGTCTTCAATTTGCCAAGGTTGGACACCCTCCTGGTTTCAACCCACTAGGTTTGACCTGCCTTGCTCTGTCTGGACAAAAGTTGGACAGAATTAGGTGTGATCCTGGAAGGCCTTAGGACAGGGGTGTCC